ATTTCAACTGTTACTCTTCTCATTTGCTACAACCTCTCTGCAAGGACTGTCTCACCTTGTCTGGCCAGTGTCTAGCACCAAGAAGATGCACTTCTAGTTGGAGCCTCCAGTCACCATCATCCAGCCAAAAATCCTGGCAACAGCCAGGGCTACATACACCTCATCTTGCAAAGTGCCAACAGCAAGGCTGGGAAAACACCCTCCAAGAAGTGAGTAACAGTGGCATGTTGCATCCAATCAGTCACTATGGAAATATATTACAGGCTGCTATTATGATTTTCTAACTACAACAGCAGCCAAGAACTTTCAGTGTGGGCAAAATGTATTTTCCATTAAGTACAAAGACAGGAGATAATCACGAGCTTCTGCAAGTGGTGTTTATGATTCAGACTCCACTACTTACTTTGACACTGGGCATGATGCTGCCTCCCCAGTGAAAAAGGAGGGTCCCGAGATTCTTGGGCTCAGATTGGCAGCTGATAGGAACTGCTGCAGCTCCACAGGGCCACAAAGGCAGCACTCACAACTCAGCCAGCTCCTCAGGCCAGGTCCAGCTAATGACTACCAATTACTGTTTTTAGGACAAATGAGTTACCTGAGCTTCTCTTCATCACAAAATGCAGACACCCTTCTTTATCCCATTTTTTATCCTCCATTTCAGGAACATTGCAGCATCTGAGTGATCTTTTCAGTAACCTGAGCTAAAATCCTGTGTGAGAGGAACTACAGGAAAAGCCTAGTAATTGTGAAGCCTAATTACAAAGTAACATGGAGCTGGAGAGCAGAACTGCTAAGCAGATAGAGACTAGACTAACGAGCAGGCCATCTGTCACCCGCAAGAAGGCTAACGAAGGGCCAGCACAGGACACTGCTGACAGGGTATGGAGGAGGATATGCAGACAAGGAAATGTCCACATACAGCATTTAAGATCCAGAGTATGAAATGAGCTGCTAATTGGAGCTCGAATGCATGCTTAGCATATGGACAACACCATTATAGCTGTACAGTAAAGGGAAGCTCACAAGAGAGGATGGTAATAGAATGGTGCAGAGTGGGATGTACCAAGTGGTACAGGATGGAAGTGCAGGAGGAAGTATGGGATGGATGGGGCTGGAACAGAGACACAGCTCAAATTCCTCACATGAGGCCACATCTTGAGTACTGTGTTCAGTTCTGGGCCCCTCACTACAGGGAGGACTATGAGGTGCTGGAGTTTGTCCAGAAAAGGGTCACCCAACTGCTGAAGGGTCTAGAGAACAAGTCATATGAGAACCAGCTGAGGGAACTGGGGATGTTTAGTTTGAAGAAGAGGAGGTTGAGGGGAGACCTCATTGTCCTCTACAAATACCTCAAAGGAGGTTGTAGGGAGGTAGGTGTTGGCCTCTTCTCCCAAGCAAATAATGACAGGACCAGAGGAAATGGCCTGAAGCTGAGCCAGGGGAGGTTTAGATTGGATATTAGGAAGAATTTCTATACTTAAAGAGTGGTCAGGCACTGGAACAGGCTGCCCAGGGACGTGTTGGAGTCACCATCCTTGGATATATTCAAGAAACATGTAGATGAGGAACTTCCAGGCATGCTCTAGTGGCTAGAGAATTTTAAGTTGTGTGCTGTGGGTTTTTTGGGGGTGTGGTGTGGGGTTTTTTGTTTGTTTGCTTGTTTTATGGTTAGATTCAGTGATGTCAGAGGTCCTTTCCAATCATGATTATTCTGTGATTCTGTGATTTTATCACCAGCACAATCTTAAACTACACTGCTTTTCCTTTCCAATCATGATTATTCTGTGATTCTATCACCAGCACAATCTTAAACTACACTGCTTTATACCTACTCTAGCACACCATATGTACTGTACTACACTATTATATACCGTGCTGCCCTGAAGAGGAAAATCTTCACAATAAATCCAGCATTTACTTATACTACAGGGCAAATCCAAGCAATAGCAGTCCCTGGGAGTGGAAATAGAAGTAAATCCTGGAGCAGTTAGTTATGGTCTATGAATATGTTGCTCCCCTCTGGAGTGCTCTTAACTGAATCAGCAACTGGTGAGGGCAGTAGAAGACAGCAGCTAATTAAACAAAATATTATTTCTGCTCCCTAAATCACTGGATGAAAATGCAAACTGGATAAAAATGCAAACTAATCTGAAAATACAATGGCATCACAGAAATTCAAAGAGGTTCAAAGTCACAACTTTGGCACATCTCTCACTTCTTGCAAATAAATTTAATTTTAATTCCAATAAAAACGATGAAAAAATATTCACAAACCAGCCACAAATTTGGACTAAAAGCTTAGTGAAAATCTATTAACTTTGCACTGAAAGTGTGGATATGTCAGCTTTGAGACTAGTTCTCTTTTTTCTCCCTAACTCTTATAATATCAATGGAATGACAAACCTAATGATCAGAAAAACCTATTGATCAGTTATTTTTTCCACTTGCCTACTGAGAATCAAGAAGATGTTTGATCATCAGTTAATCCCATACATTTCAGTGAGCTTTCAGCATGTATATTTTCTTAATATTCTTATCACTTGCTCTAAGACTCATCCAAGCTAAGGGAAAGACCTTGCTCCTTAAGAGAGCTTGAATCAGCCCCTTGTTTACAGGTATTTTACTGAACTTTTTTGGAAGCAAATCCCTCAAATGATTTAAGTACTTCTAAACATGCAACATGCTTCATCTGTGGTGAGGTCACCAAACTCCAACCTTTTGCAATAATGGAGAGGGAAAAGAAGGAAACAGAGCTTTGAAGAGCTAAGGAGACTGAATTTTACAGATCTTTAAATGACCATGTTATTTTGCTATATGATCAACAGGAGAAGAAGGGGAAGAAGGATAGAAATCGGGTACCTGTCTTCTAACAATTGCACAGATTAGCCACAAAATATCAACCCATTTTGTGACTTGACATGCAATTTTAAGCATGCAATTTTTCAAGATGCAATTTTTCTGTTAAGGCAATCCAGCACTCTTGTTATACTAAGTTTGAGTAGTTTGGATTTGTCCTTTTCAGAGTCTGTCATTTGCTTTCTGAACACTGAGAACAGAAGACCAATAGCACTGTGGGCTTGGGAATGGGCTACTGGTCTTTCATCTTGCTTATTAGGGACCTTCATCAAGATTTCACCACTTAACCAGCTAGAGAGAGCTGTAGAGAGCAACTGTAATGCAAAAAAATAATTAATGTTGTAAAACAGCTTTAGGTCCTCAGATGAATGACCTTGCAGATTAGTGTTTTGCCCTTAAATGCAAAGTCACACTTGGGCAAATCTACAGAATATCTATTAATACAATTTCTATAGACATATTAATATAAGTATCAGTGGTATTGGTAGCACAGCAACAGGACAAGTCCTTCTAAAATACCTGTGCATGTTTGCACAATACTGCTTTGTGCTTTGTCCTTCACAGAAAAAAAACAAACAACCAACACAACACTTTAGTAATTGCAGATCAGGAAAGACTGATGTTAAATTGTGCTGGACTCAGTGAGAGTACGTGGGAGGACAGAGATGGATTTTAAAACACTCAAGATTGAAACCTTAATAGAAGTTTATATGGTACCAGTATGAGACCATTATAGGAAAAGCATGGGAAATACTTGTTTTGCATATATTTGTGAAAAATATGCTTTACATCCATACAAAGCTATACTCATCAGATGGGGGATATTATACATAGCTCTTTGGTAACATTTCATTCTTTGCTCCTGCAAAAGTTTATTTAATTCAATATAATTCCCTCATACTCTGGCAAATCAAGAAAATAGCAGAAAAGGCCTCACTAAAATATTTCCTCCTTATTAGGGATATCAGTGCTAAAAAAAAAGATGCTAGATAAACAACTTTGAACTGCAACGCAGCTAATATTTCTGTGATCATTACTCATAGAGAGTGGTTCTGGGGAGAACCATTCCCCCAGAGCATACAACCTACAAAAAAAGCTCCTGGCCATCTGTAGGTGTGTTTGTGAAGGTGTGTATTGTTGGCAATTGCACTTCCCTGGAGCTGAATTTGTGGGAGCAGTCTGAGACAGCTGTGCTGAGGGCAGCTAAGGCGCATGTTGGTTCAGCTCTACCCTTTCACACTCTCTCTTTTCATGACAGGTATTAAAATTGCTACCAATGGGCATAGCAGACCAGGGAAGTCAAACACAAGGAAGGATTTGATCTAGTTCCCCATTAAATGCAAAAGAAAAGCTAATAACTTCAGTGCTAATAGGAGTTGAACTGGAACCTACATGAGCAGCACACCACAAATCATTTTATTGTCGCCAAAGCTTGTTCAGACTGCAGCAATTTCCAGTGAGAGCTGGAATCTACATCCCCCAAAACAGCTCTACTCCAGCAAATACTACATGCATTAATTTAAGCATTATTTGGTTTTCCCTTGACTAGAAAACAGAAGGCAGCAGAGGATAAAAAGAGCACATGGCTTCTGTGCGAGCACCAGCCCAGCTGCTGCTGGACCACTGTTTGCCTGTTGCTTAGCAATGCTTCACCTCTCTAATAGAAAAAAAATGTGTTGATGAGGGAATAGGAACCTGAAGTTTTGTTTATTTTAAAATAGAGACTGTTACAGTGCTCCAACCACTTCTTCCAACCATATGCTACATCACCTCCTGAATTCTAGAAGCTCTTAGGGTCAGAGGCTGCAGTTTTCAGTGCCTATGAGCCTACTGGAGACCCTTAAATATGAAATTATAATAACAGAGCAGTGGTGTTTGCATATTTATCAAGGGAAAACTGTAACAGGAATTAGAGGATTGAATTTTTGGGCATGGCTCTCAGCAACCAGCTCTAGCTGCCCCTGCTTGAGCAGGAAGTTGGAAAAGATGATCTCCTGAGGTGCCTTCCAACCTCAAGCACTCCTTGATTCTGTCCTTTCAGGAGCAAAATAAAGAACAGGAAGAATATCTCAAAACAAAGAAGAGACACACAAAGAGTGAGGAAGAAAAGCACAGAGATTGCAACACATTTGTGCCTCTCTCACCAGTTATCCATTTAGCCTCTGGGTCGTGAATTTTGAAATCATCACTGAAGAGATCTTCCACTGTGATCTTCTTCTTCTGAGACAAGCTGTTATCTTCAACTGTAAAACATTAAAAAATGAACTGACATTACTTCAACTTTGAAATGTATCTGAAAGTACAGCAACTGTGAACAGTGCCATGACATATCTCAACTGGAAACTGTCCACATTAAGCTCTCAGTCACACATAAGCCCCTTCCCATTGCCCATGCTATAAAAGGACCATCCAGAGATTCACAAACAGAAGTCTTCTGGGTTCTCCAGCTACAAAGAGAACAAGATATGGTTCAAACCACATATTTTTGGACATAACCTGATCAAAAAGATGTTAACTGTCATGGAAACACACCTATAGATGTCATAGTGCTATATATTGCTGACTGTTCTGAAGAATGTTCAAGCTGTTTAAGACAATTCTGAAATCATTAGTTAAATTAAAAAAAAAAAAAAAGTAAAAAAAAAAAAAGTAACCAAGTTCTGTAGTTTATATTTTTATTTCCTTAAAAAAGGTCAGGCAGAATCAAAGTTGGGAGGGTATTTAGCCTTATAAGGATTCATATGGATTACTTCAGGAATTCAAAAAAGATCATAAAATCATAGAATTGTTAAGGTTGGAAGGAACCTTAAAGATCATCACGTTCCAACCTCCCTGCAGGAAAACCTCAAGCTAGACCAGGCTGCACAAAGTCTCATGCAGCCTGGCCTCAAAAACCTCCATGGAGGGGACTTCCACAACCTCCCTGGGCAACCTATTCCAGTGCCTTTCCATCCTCAGCATCAGTCTCTGTTTGTGAAAGAGAGTATCATAGAATCCTAGAATCATGAAGGTTGGAAGGGACCTTAAAGATCATCAAGTTCCAACCCCCCTGCCATGAGCAGGGAACCCTACCACTAGATCAGGCTGTACAAAACCTCGTCCAACCTGGTCTTAAAAACATCCAGGGATGGGGCATCAACTACCTCCCTGGGCAACCCATTCCAGTTCCTCATCACCCTTAGAGTGAAGAATTTCTTCCTAAAATCTAACCTAAATCTCCCCTTTCTCAGTTTAAAACCATTACCCCTTGTCCTATCACTATCTTCTCTGATGAAAAGCCCCTCCCCAGCTTTCCTGTAGGCCCCTTTCAAGTACTGGAAGGTGCTATAAGGTCTTGCTGACTTCTCTTTTCCACGCTGAACAGCCCCAACTCTCTCAGCCTGTCTTCACAGCAGAGGTGCTCCAGCCCTCTGATCATCTTGGTGGCCCTTCTCTGGACCCTCTCCAACAGGTCTGTATCTTTCCTGTGCTGAGGGCACCAGGACTGTACACAGTATTCCAGGTGGGGTCTCACCAGAGCAGAGCAAAGGGGCAGAATCCCCTCCCTGGCCCTGCTGGCCACACTTCTTTTGATGCAGCCCAGGATGCAGTTGCTCTCTGGGCTCAGCACACACTGGTGGCTCATGTTGAGCTTCTCATCAACTACCACCCCCAAGTCCTTCTCCTCAGGACTGCTCTCCAGCCATTCTTCCCCCAGCCTGTATTTGTGCCTGGGGTTGTGCTGACCCAGATGCAGAACCCAGCACTTGGCCTTGTTGAATTCATGAGGTTGGCACTGGCCCAACTCTCCAGACTGCCAAGGTCCCTCTGGATGGTTTCCCTTCCCTCTTGGGTGTCAACCACACCACACAGCTTGGTACCATCAGCCAACTTGCTGAGGATACACTCAATCCCACTCTCTATGGCTCAGACACTCAACTGCATAAATATTTCTAAAAAACCTAAGACATAATCCTAAATCCTGAGCTGTTGCACAGCTGCCCTATACTAATTTTAATTTTTAGAAAAAGAACATACAGTTTAATTTGCAAACATGGAGATCTGGCCTTTACATTGAAGAACCAGACTGCCAGTTTAGGATACTGTAAGACCAACATGAAATAAACACTGCCTTTCATTTAGTTTGGATTTTTACTTTCTCAAGGCTAAAATTTTTAGAGACAAACTGAAGCAAATAATATTGATTGACACTTTTTTTTTTTTTTCTCCCAACAGTGTGATTTATTAGTTTTTCTTTTTTCTTTTTTTTGTTATGACCAGCAGTCACCTTCTAGGAATAATTTGTTTCCAACATACAATTTATTATGAAAAAAAATATTTTCATGGAAACCTTTCAGTCAATTTAAACACACTTGCTGGGAGGAACATGTGAGGCTGCATTCTGAGTTTTTCCACAGCAGGTCTGTGTGCTCCAGCATCTCTCCTCACTAGAGCATCCTCATGCCTGAAGCCTATTGGTATCATGTAGCCTCAGCTACCTTTAACATTGTTTAATAGGAAACTTGTTACACTGAACACACTCATAGCTGGAAACAGTGGGAACAGACTCTCTGAAGTCATTTATTGGAGGGATTTACTACACTAAATTGAAGTTCCTGAGATACGCAGACTCTCTGAAGTCATTTATTGGAGGGAAAAAAGTCTTCTTTACTACACTAAATTGAAGTTCCTGAGATACCTGAAACCACTGAAAATTACCTATGAACAATGTTTTGTTTCACTAAAACGTGTTTCAATACAAACTATCATTTTTACCAAATTAAATTATATTCTTCAATTTTCATACTTTTTAAAAGCCTGATTCAGGTTTCAATCACACTGCTCCATGTAGCTTCCAAATAACAAGACATTTTAATACAAGTCCTCAACCAAATCTTTTCGTGTGAGAGCATTACACCAAGTTCTTCTGCACAATTTAATTTGTTAAAATAGATACTACAGGTCAGAGGAACTCCAGGAAACTGTTCCAATTAGTTCCCACCATGATACAAGGTTCCAGCAGTTGATATCCAGCGAAATCAGGGTGTGCAGAGAAAGGAGATCAGAGCCTACAGCCCCAGGTTTACAGCTGCTTCAGGTACCACTTCACTGATGCCACCCTGAGGAACAAGGACACTTCTTCCCCACCATGAGGAAATCAGGCCAGGCACAAGCAAATCTCTGTGCTGGAGATTTGGGAAGGGACAGGGTGGGAAGTCCTTCTCACTCCCTCCTTCTGTGCAGGATGGAGACAGCCAGTCTTGGTCTACACCACCTCTACACCTTCACAGTATTTCACACTGCCAGCAGGAAAAGCTGCAATAGGCCCTATAATGACCCATGAACAACATTAATTTCAGTCACAGAGTTGGGGAGAAAAAAAATACTAAATAATCAATGAATTAATGATTTTTTAGTAAAAAATCAGATTTACTGACCTTTCATCTAACACACAGTAAGTCAAAGCACTCATTAAGAATGCCTGGTCCATTCTTCTGTCCCCAAGGGAGACATTTACAGAGGAAGAAATGCTATTGTGGCATCTCAGGTAGTTTCTCTCCCAAGCTGCAGTCTCTGAGCATGCCTCAGAGTGCTAGACCAGCTGGCAGAGACAAGTTGTGCCCACAGAGACATTTGAGCCTCCTTGCATTTATGAAAGGAGAGGATCAAGCATGTGCCAGCACCTTTCTTTGCATCTCTCTACCAGCAGTTCCAGGTTGCAATTGCCAGTCAGGGCCTGAGAGCACAGCAGCATGGCTGTGGTACAGGTGACACAAGGACTTGTGATTTGAGTGCCAACTCAGAAACCCACCATCCAAACAGCAAAGCACAGGCTGAGAGAACCAAGTGAAAACCATATCTGTTTTATTTTTGATTCAACATTAAAGGCATGATGGCAACCCTGTGCTGGTCAGACCTTTTGGGTTCATCTGTCTGCACCTCATCCTTGAAATTATCACTGAACTGATAAAATCTTGCTCTCCAGAACACAAACAGAACAAAGATTCTGCAAAACCCCAGAAAACTCAAAACAGAAGGGAAAAGGGCTATGAGCTGACTTCCCTGCCTGCTTTGCCTCTGCAGTGCCAGTCCTGTCTTCCAAGCTTCCCCTCAACTCCAGCAATGCTCAGAGATTGCTTGATGGGTCAGAAGGTTTCAGACCCCTTTGGGTTCCCATCTTTTTCCATCATCCCTAGGGCTAAGCTACAGGTCTGTGTCAGATGATTTTCTCACACACCTCCTGGGCTATTGTGCACATGGGTGTTCATTAATGTCCACCTCTTGGCAGACCTTACCCAGCTCCCTTTCCACCTCAGTTTATCTGGTCAATCCCTGGGCAAACTTGAGCCCCTTTTCACCCAGATGACTTCCCTGTACTCAAAAGAGTGGTGAGACAAAGCACAGAGGCAGTCTCTCTCCCTTCTTCAAAATCCCACTTCATTTTAATTGTATATAATATACATTTATATAAAACAATTACACTCCTGCTCAGTTGGTCACAGGATATTTCCTTGCTCTTCCTGGCTAGTAAAATGTCATACCAAGCTAACTAGGTGATGCCTTTGGTTGCCTGACAGCATGCTGTGAATTAATGCTACACAATGACTACCTCAGTACCCACTCTGAAAAATGTTTCCCATGAATCTTATAAAAATTTTAATACAGATTTGGATGTACTTTCTTTTTTTTTTTTTTCAGCTAAAGGTCAGATTTTAAAGGGGTAAACTTTATGCCTGTCTCCAGAAAGCTTTAAATACCAGGAACAGATGTGCAAAAATTCCTTGTTTACCTCCATGTCTGAACAGACGGGACTAGAAAGCAGCCTCTTCCTAAGCACAATGTCTAATGGAATTGGGGGAAAGTTTTTTTAACCAAAATTTCTGTAGGATTAGGTCCTTTCTTCAGCTTTGATATGTGTATTTGTGTGTGTGCGTGCAGTCATATCTATGAACTTTGGCAGGTCTTTATATAAATACACAAACAGCATTGCTAGGATGGGACCCCTACAGATGCCATATGCTGTGACAAGTGAGCAACTGCCAGTCAGGAAAGGCTCAGTCCCAAGCTCTTCTTTTTTGTATAAATAGTTCCACATTTTTCAAAGGTGGGTGGAAGGGCAGGACATAAAATCAGAGTTCCTCAGTGTAGGCAGTTGTGTGCATGAGATGCACTGCAGTGCAATTAAATGCAAACTTGCACTAGGTACTGCTTCTTTTGAGAATATTGTTCTAGAATACCAAAGGATATACAAATCATAGAGATTTAGACATTGTATTAGAGTTTTATAAAATACGACCTAAGCATTAGTGGATGATGAAGCACTGTCTGCTGAATGCAAAGAGCACAGCTCCCAGTTCAGGAGGTACAACTTGAGTGACCTGCCCCTGGGAAACCCAGGCCAGTAGGGATTTGAGTCTTTCTGCAGCTGAGTCCAGAGTTATAACCTTCTTTAAAGATTTGGGCTGATTTGCAAAAGAAAGTTGAAGAGTTATATGAAACCCCTATTCCCTTAATTATTAAATACCTTAATCATTATCTGTTCTGCTAAGCAAACTTTTCCCATTCCCCACTCTACCACTCACTCTTGGTTTTGCAGGAGACTACCCTGATTTCACATTATTCGTGAACATCACCATCATGATACAAGTTATAGGTCCACTTAATCACTTTTCTTTGCCTGAACACTGACTGCAAGACTGCTTGCTGCACTGTGTTTCATATATGTCCCAAATTACTCTCTGTAGGCATTTCATGATGTTCAGCACTGGCTCTAGAGCATCTCTGCATTGCATGCCTTGGTATTGCACTGCAAAGCAGGTCTTCAAACCAACAGCAAAATACTTAGAGAAGAATGGTTCCCCAGCCTGGGAGAGGGCCAAGATAGGTATAAGAAAGGAATTCAGAGGTAAAACATAAAGTGTTATTTGCACTAGTGTGACAGTGTCAGGATCTACTCCAACATTATAATCAGAAGGAAGACTTAAAAATATTTGAAGTATTCTCAGGCATTGTGCTCTGCCCAGACCAGACTGCATCATCCACTTGAGACATTTCCAGTGAAGAGGCTTTTTTATTTGCTTTTTTTTCCCCCCCTGAAGCCACCCTGACATTTAGCAGCAGCTCCCTGCCAGCATCCACCAAACTGCTTTGCTTCCTTCCTTTGCCATCCTCCTGTCCCCTCCTCTCGTTCCAATATCCATCTCTTATTTTTCAGTTTGGCTACCAAAGACTAAATATTTCTTCATACAGTAAACTATGAGTCACGTTGAAGGACTTGCAGGTGTTGGCCAACGAGAAGCTCAACATGAGCCAGCAATGTGCACTTGCAGCCCAGAAAGCAACCGTGTCCTGGACTGCATCAAAGAAGCATGGCCAGCAGGTGGAGGGAGGTGATTCTGCCCCTCTACTCCAAAATTGTGAGACACCAACTGGAGTCTTGTGTCCAGTTCTGGAGCCCTCAACATAAGAAGGACATGGAGCTCTTGGAGAAAGTCCAGAGGAGAACCATGAAGGTGATCCGAGGGCAGGAGCACCTCTCCTTTGAAGACAGGCTGAGCAAGTTGGGGCTGTTCAGCCTGGAGAAGAGAAGGCTCCAAGAAGACCTTATAGCAGGTTTCCAGTAACTGAAATGGGCCTTCAGAAAAGTTGGGGAGGGACTTTTTACAAGGGTGTGTAGTGATAGGATGAGGGATAATGGTTTTAAACTGGAAGAGGGATTTAGGTTAGGCATTAGGAAGAAATTTGTTACTGTAAGGGTGGTGAGACACTGGAACAGTTTGCCCAGGGAAGTTCTAGAAGCCCCGTCCCTGAAGATGTTTAAGGGCCATGTTGAATGGGGCTCTGAGTTCTATTTTATGGCAGGAAAATGCAGAATCTGCTTCTCCTTTTGGACTGGCTCCTTCATCTTCCCCACTCCTACGTTATTGGGAAGTGCTATCCTCAGTCAGAATTAGCAAGGTAGCACCTTCTACATTTGTCAAGTCAGCCTGAATGTCTCACTTAGCACTGGCTGGTGGGAACTGCCTGTGAAATGAGCCTTCTGTGACCCTGTGCCACAGTGCACCCTTGTAATAAGCTTCAGGGCCAGTGGCCCAAGAGAAGACTAAACTCAGCTGCTGCCAAGCCACAGCAGCAACTTAAGCTATTTGATTTCACCCTTGGCAGAGTCTCACCATGAAGCAGCCTGTAATAAACCCAGAGGCAGTGCTGAGTTCAGAGGTTTTGTATCAAAAATCATGAATGGAAATGTTAGCATAGAAAAATATTTCCAAGCTTTAAGCACAGAAACTCTCTCAATGATGCTATTTGGAATTGGTACTAAGTACATACCAATAACTGTGTGATTTATATGTCTCCATGTGTGTGCATGCATTTTCCCAACAGAGAACACCTTTGTGTATGCATATACAAATATAAACACACAAATACACTTGTGAATTTAATTTATACCTGAATGTGGGTATTTCACATTCCCACTTCATACTACATAAAATTCAAGATCATTATAATAACCCACATTTCCTTGTGTCTCTCTAAATTAGAGAACATTAACTACAGGGTCTCAACGCTCAGTGCAGCTTTTCTGTCCAGGCACTTACCTGGACAACAGCACTGTGGTGTCTGTAGTCATAGTAGTCATTAATGGATTTTATGTGTGAGTTTCTTTATGGAGAAGTGGCAGCAGGGTTCAGGAGAAGACCTAAATGAGGTCTACAGGTGGAGCCATGAACTGAAACCAGAGCTGCTTAAATCCTCACCAGACATCATTCTGACCATCCTTACAAAGAAATCCTTATTATGGGTTATCTTGTAAAAGTAAAGACTTGTGACTTCAGCTGTATTAGGACTGCACAGCTTCTTGAAATCCACAAATGTGGATTTAGGAATCTTGGCTTCAGTGTGCATTTTTGAAAAGCCTGGGACTGCAGTTGTGTAAAATAGAAGGTGACATTTCCATACCTTATCGATAACGGACAATATTTGTCACTGCAAATGAGGGGTGTCTGATATGAATACAGTCCACAGACCATGCCCCAAAACACCTCAGAAATGAACTGTACTATCCAAAGGTGTTAAATTGGAACCCCAGAAAAATTAATATAAAAAAAAAATCCATAATTAAGTTTAGCTTTAATTACTTAATTACTCCAGCATGACCATGGGCTACTTACATTTACACTGAAAATTTCAGGATAGCATAAACTGAACATGGCAGGACTATAAATAACCAAAAGGATAACGCAGTGATTTTTTCACTCATTTTCAAATCAGCTTAGTGCATTTATAGCTTTACCACTGCCTCCAAGCTACCATGCAGTAGAACTGTGGAATAAGAATTGTAACAGGGAAGTTAGCCCAGATCTGCTGAACTCATGTCAGTTCACACACTACAAACTACAAATTTCTGTCTCACCATTTTCGATCTAGTTTTTCCATTTCACTCTACTGTGTTATTCCATTTCCTATGGTTTCTTTTCTCCCTTCCTCCATTTCCTTGTTCAGCTGTGTGAGCTCTGTCCTGCTGTCCCCTAGAATCACACACATGTATTCATCCAAGAAAGAGCCTCTTTTCTTCTCCACATCCCTCTGCAGGGGACCTTCTGCCCTCTTCTGTGTTTTGTAGCTCTTAACCCTTCTGATGCTGAATCCTCTCTGCCATGTCGTCTCTCATTTACTTTTTTGTTCTCAGATCACAAGCTTTTCTGAGCCATGAAAGCACATTATTTCTACTCCATAAGTAGCTATGGAAATTTACAGGGCTGTATAAATATGTAATGATCAACAATCATAATGATACCACAATAAAAATCAAGCTTACAACATCAGCAGCTACTGTAAGAGAAGGAATTCACTGAGGTTACATGCACAGAACTTTGCTGAAACTTGGTAAGGGGATTAACCTAGAATATCTCATTGGGAAGTTTTGATTATTTGCTGTGGTTAAGTGCTATCTGGCACATAGTTATCTGGAATTCTTTTGTAAAGCTAGAACACTGTGATCTAATTTAAAAATCTATACACCTGAATAAGATGGGATTTATGTGCCTAAGCATGGGCATCTAATGCCATTTCAGATGCTCTAGGATGTGCCACCAAACAAGCAGCTGATGCTCCACGTAGGCATGAACTTCAGGAACTCCTGTGTCTTAACTGACTGCCCCAAGTAGATGTCTTTCACACCTTGGCACATCTAAAATGACACTCTCCATCTGTGTTTAGGCAATCAGGTTTCACTCCTGTACCTTCAGCTCAGCAGCCCTGATCTTTGCACTGAAATGTAAAACTTTAAAACAATCTACCTAAGAATGGCCTTGAACTCACAGTCACATCAAGCTGAAGAACAGGAAGGATGATTCCTTTGATGTTTGCTTAACTGCCAGTTTGCAACCTCTTTCCTTTGGAAGTGTAAAATTACAGAAGAAAAATGGAATGGAAGTGAGGTAAAGGTTATAAATACCTGGTGTCAGGAGTATAACGGAGGTGACAATCAGGGAACAGATAACGAGAATAACAAGTAAGGCAATTGCAATTCCTTTCCAGTTTCTTTGAGGAGGATTACTCCCCACCAGCTCCTAGAAAGATCAAAGGAAAGTGAACATTTAGAAGAGGCACTTAGACAAGGAAACAAATACCAGAATGTGAACAAAAATGTATGGTTGCGGAACTGCCCCCTGCCTGGGTGAAGCCTGTAAGCCAAATACAACTTATGTGATTATAATATGTTGTGGCATTAATTTAATCAAGACATACAATAAAAAAATGAAATGCAACCATTGGATCTTAGTAGTGAAGCCCACAGCCCCCATCACCTCTTTGCATATGGGCACCAGCCCCCCACACCAGCCCTCAACCAAACTCACTTATCAAAAGTCCATTTCCTATCAACACTCATCAACTCGGGGGATAAAGAGCTTCAGAGTAACTTTCAAGAGACTTTTCTATTAAGATGACAGAGAAGAATACAAGAAGATAAATAATTCACAGCGGCACGTATGGACATTAAAATCAATAAGGATATTCCCATGGTCAACGTTTTTTCTGCCTTCCGAGAAAACATCACATCCCCTCAGGACACCTTGATGCATTTCCAGGCTGGCTTGTCTAAGGACAAGAAGACAAGACTCACATCTAGCATATACATTAAGTTTAATCACATTCTTTAAACTAGAATAAAAGCCCTACCACCATTCACTGATTAGCTTTGACTTCACTGTGGTTGTACCATATGTTCTGTCTATGATGTGCACAGCACCCCTGCTCCCAAGACTGAGGGTTTTATGAAGTGCTGTGTTCGCACTCACAAGATCTTAAATATTTATGGCACTTTATTCCTTTCATGCTTTTTTTCTGGATTCCCCTTCGCATTGTGCATTAAATGTGATTTCATGCAGACATCGAAGCATCCCCAGTAAGTGTGTGAAATACCAGAGCACTCCACTTCCCTGGAAGGCTGAATTCACTCAAGGAATCTGTCCTCACAGCCAGAACAACTCTGGATGCTCCTCCTCCTTGTCGGCCTTACCAATTTAGAATTTTTGCCTCATTTCCTTTATTATGAATGATGGTGGGTCTAAGACAGCCCTGCTGGTAGTTCATTAAAACCTTTTTTTTTTTTTTTCTTCCAGGAAAGCAAAAAGCTTTATAATAGACTTAGTTCTTCTGTAATTCAGAGAGTTTGTTACACTTGCTGTAACTATTTTTATACACAGCAACATGACCTGAATCAGGAGGTCAGGCAAACCTCAACAATTTGAATTTCAGAAAACTCTGGAAAATATTTTTCACTTATTTTCCATATCAGGAACCCATTTCACAGAAAAAGATAATGTTGAGACTCTCTTCCTATAGGTTTGGGGATCTATCCATCACAAAGGCTATATACATGGAATGGAAATCTAGGTTTGAGGCATTAAACATGAGGTAGCATCTGTACTTCATTATTTATTTTAGTTCTGGAAAAGACATGATTTTTCTTTTCCTTCTGGCAAAGAGGGCAGAGGTTAGCATTCCCTCCCCTTCTTGCCTTCCCCTCATTTGCACTTGGCACTTGGCTTTCTATTTGAAATGAAAATAATTAGAAGGAACAAATTTATAGTTTATTCCTCTTACTGAAGAAAAATCTGAAAAGTAGGTCAGGAGCCTTGAGAAATGCAATTTTGTGAATAACAAACAGAAAGAATATAAATATTTGCATTTTTATAGTGCCTTCACCCTAAGCACAAACAAAAATGCTAATTAACTTAGACTTCTAACACCTTTTTTAGGAAACTGTTGTGCTTCCTATTTTTCATGTGATCCGAAAAGGCTCAAAAGAGGGTCTGTGACTTTCGCAGGGTCACACACAAATTGAGAAATAAAACCAGGAAAACAATCCAGGGCTTCTTAGCAAGTGGCAGAAATAGTCTTCCTTTCACAGCAGGGCACTGAGGGATGACAGGAGAACTGGGGAGAAGCAGCTGAGAAACCATAGTGCTTCTACCCAGCCAAGCCCTGACAGTGTCAAAGGACTGAGAGAAGATGCAGGCAGCACTACAGGACTGGTGGCAACAGACACCTTCCTGAAAATAACCTAACAGCCCTCTCGACCCTGAATTGCCAGGAGGTTTAAAATCAGAAACAACAGTTCATGGAGTAGAATTAAATCTAAAAACCCAGATGTAGTTCAAAAGCCAAATAAAACCTTGCATTACGGGAGGTTTCCCCCATCCATGACTCCCAGTATGATAGAAATCCACACACGTGCTTAAGCTTTCAGGATATCAATACTTCCACTGAATTCATTATCCCATCATAACCCCATTAATCCTTTAGTCATCCAATCAATATTTGAGCAAAATCACAACAGAAGAAAAAGACTTGGAATTTCTAGTGTATCAAGAGGAGAAAACTATTCATAAACAAAATTTGGGGTTTAATATATTGCAAGGAAGCAGAAAGGAAGATTTTAATTTTCTTTTCCAAATTCCATTAGGAAGTTTCCCCTGATAAAAAGCACGAAGAGATAAATGACATTTCAAAGAAAAGTAAACAGTTTGATTCAGCACAGGTTTGGAAAGCAGCTTTTTTTACTCAGTCACTTGAAGTCTCTTTTGATGGCATCACTTACAGTAAATCTAGTGCACACACAAGGTACTATTTATCTGTTAGCACTGCTTCCTTAGAGCTTTCCTATCCATATACCTAAGCAGGTACAGACTGAAGTGCACAAATAATGTTCTTGAAGTGGCACCTGAAGGGGTTTGTTACCAACGCACAATACAAAGCTATAGTTTGCCCATTCCTGCAAGTTCCCAGCTTGCAGATGCGAACACAGATATCTAAAGCACCCAGCAAGCAGACATCCTTCCTGAACCAGGGCTGTTAATCTTAAAGATACCACTTTGGTTTTAATACTGAGATCTGAGCCCATTACACAAATGGGTATAAACCAAGCGTGCGCCATTTCTGCTGCAATGAAATGATTCTACTGAAAACAGCACAAAAGGAGCCACCTGCTCCCTGCTACTCATGAAGAACTAACACAACCTGACCTCTAAAAGCAAACTAAAGCCCTTCAGCTTGTTTTTTCTCCTTTTTTCCTTTGCTGTTTGTTTTCCACCTTCTTCTTTCTTTTACACAAGATCTTAATTGGGTTTGGATCAGGAAAGTAAAACATGTTACCACAGGTATCATCGTAAACACACTTCATTGATGCTGCATATTAAAAACTGTAAATGTTATCACTTTCATCTTCATGTATGATTTAAAAACGATGCTGCCCACCTGTGAAGTTGACTTTGAAGCCATAAACCCAGACATTTACAGTATTTTAAGACTCTAAAATACAGATCTGTGATGACATATTTTCCTGCCTGCGAAAGAATCACTGTGCTGACATGTTATGGATGAAGGCTGGATGTGCTCCAATCCAAGATGCTGTCAACAAAATTATTTCTGGCATGTTTATTTGAAACCTGCCAAAAGTCTGTCAGCACAGTGGCCGTATTTGAATAATATGACAGCTTCTTAAACTTTTTTTTTAATGTCTATATTGCAAAGTGAAAGAAGGACAATATAGACATCACTTGTCAACTATTTGTATTATTTAATAAAAGCTGGACCAAAATCTCTGAAATATCAATAGAGGGATGAACATGGAGTTGCCACTTTTGTGCAGTAACAACAAAACCTAAGTGCCTTATACTGGAATATATACATTTCAGACACATGGTGTGTGTGAGGACCCTTGCTGAAGCAGGTGACACTGGTACACAGCTGCAGACAGGAGACCGAGCTCTCCTCTCAGTTACACCTTTGTAAATCAGAAAGAAAATAGAACTAATTTTTTAAAAATGGGGGGAAAAAAAAACCCCAAAAAACCAAACCAAAAGGAAAAACAAATAATTAATAATAAGAAGAAAAAACAACAAGTAAGAAATGAATGAGCTGAAACAAAAGAAGGAGCAAGATCCCTTATTGGTTTCAGAGATGGAAGGATGGGGTTTATAGCAAAGTTTTGTATGGTTTCCATACCTGCCATTCTTGCAAGCTCTTGTTTTTTGTTTTTTTTTTGCTTCTAATTTTTAACTAAATAACCTGAAACACTACAAGCTCACAAACACAGTAAATGAAAAATCTTCTAGCAAGCTTGTCAACACACAGTTAATGGAGGAATGTGTTATACTTTCACCTTGTCCTGAAAGAAAACTTTTCCCTGATCAAACAGCATAGTGAGTAAAATGTCTCTGGCAAGTCAGCTCACCAGATTCAGAATATGGCCCAGAACAAAAACTTTACTGAGGAATTAAGGTGTGGGAATGCTGCTGTCCTGGCAAAAACTCCTATGACATTCAGAGGAAAAATAATCTTCCTGTTAATTAGTCCTTCATAGTACAAAAATTCCCGCAGATTGTAACTCCTAAGCAGTACAACAAATGAGATACAGAGTAGGTAACACATACAGGTAGATTATCAGCCTTTTGTTGCAGAAAAAGAATTATTAATTGTAGAGATATTGGCAGTAAACCAGATGCTTTGCAGTGGTGCCAGCAGGAGGTTTGCTGAGACCTCTGGTTATGCTGCTGATCGATGCTGCCTTACTGTCTCATCACACTCTGTGTCTGGATCCTCTGCCACTCTCCTGCCTTAAATATAAGATGGAGGTTCTTTGTGGGCAGGAATAATTTTTTGTACCCTGCCTGGCACGGTCGAAACTTCAATCCCTAAAGAATTTAGGCAGAATCATAATACAGATAGACAATAATAAGCATGTAACTGCATCCTTCTCATCTCTGAATTCAAGCTGAGGTACTTTCACTTGTTTTTTTTCAAATTCATTCTGTTTCCTTTCTTTCTCCTCCCCACTTGCCTCCCTCCTCTCTGCTGCTGTGGCCACCCTGAGCTGTGCTCCAGCTGAAGCCTGATGATGAATAGCAATGGGTTTGCAGATAGATGCAGAGAACCTAAGCCTGGAGCTCCAGTAAACTCAGTTGGTTCAGATGGTGACGCTTTAGACAGAGAGGAATAAAAACTTGATCTATTCTTGGTATGTGTGGGGCTTTCCTGCACAACCCCAACAGAAAGATGGAGAGGG